AGATCGAGGCCACTTCGATTTGAGGCTTATTGGACACACATGGATAACTTCCATGAACAAATTAATACCCATTGGGCTATTAACGGAGGCGATTTTCAGCAAAAATGGAACACTATTAAACAACATTCAAAGAGGTGGGTTTCTCGTAAATATATGGAAACTTTTCTCTTCATTGGATGACCATAATAGCAAATTCTTTCACTTTATTTGCGTCAAACAGGAAAAAGGAAGTAGTAGGGACTTCAGATGTTGGGGTAATTGAAAACTTAATTACTTCGTGACTATTATGTAAGTTTATACTCTTCTTCAATGGAGACATTGGTTTGCTTTGTGGACAGACAATGAAGACATTGTTTGAATGCTCATGCACAAGACCTGTATTGTATGGTTTGCTTTGTGACTGATTATCTCTTTGGTTTCAATTTTCAAATGGATTCTCCTTTGGATTCAACTAATTATGTGGCACATCTGAAAAGGTTGGTGTAAATCGATGATGGAGTCAAAGCATTTTGAGCCATTGTCAATTGCTATAGCTGGTAATGCTGAAGGTTAGACATGTAGAATTGTAGATGCACAGGACTCTAGTGATCATCAGTTACAGTCCTATCCACCTACCCCTAGTCTTAGTTGATGGATAAGACCTGAAACAAATGTATTGGAAGTTAACTTTGACGGTGCTCTGTCTTCCGTAAAGGGTGGTGGTAGGAATTATTATAAGAGATCATTTGGGGTGATTTCTGCTATGGCCAATCATGCCCAATCCCATTGAGTGCACCGGAGGAAATATAAGCTTTTGCAGATTTGGCTGGTCTCCAATTGGATATAGAAGTTGACGCTCCTTCTATCATTTTAGGGGGTGATTGTTTTATAGCAGTTTCTTAGTTAGTTATATAGAAGGCGATTAGTTGCAAGTTAAAGGCATTTGATTTCACAAATCCCTCACTGCCCACAGATCCTTCTTCTTTTTCATATGTATACTTGGTCTTCTGCCCTAGGGGTGCAAATGCATGATCCTATCCGAGATTCAATCCTATTTGATCAAATTCAGATAATCCTTTGTTTGGATCTTTGGATCAGATAATACGATTTGATCAGACATTGGATTGGATTCGGATCACCCCATCTGATTTGCAGAGAAGATTCGATCCTATACATTGTATATATGCATATTGTATTCATTTATTTATAAATATATTTTTATAAATTTGTTATATTATTTATTTTTTATAATATATATATATATATGATGAAAATAATTAAGAAATGCTTGTATTTTTTTTGTTTTACTTTATTTAAATTAATATATTTTAATTTTCTTTTAATAATTTATTAATTTTTAAAGAAAACAAGATCTGAAGATCCGACTTACCAACAGGATTCAAATTCAAATTGAGTCCTATCAGGTCTGATCGAATCAAATCGGATCTGATATAAACAATGTAAAATCAGATTCAAATATACACTTATTATAAGTATGACCCGATCCGTTTGCATCCTATTCTATTCTGCCCCATCTTTTTTTATCAGACTTTATTATTTGATTGTAACGAATGAGTTTCAAAGGTACACTGCCATGTTTCTCTTTTCGAAAAAAAGTACCAACTTAAAACTTTATTTCTGATAGTCAAAATATAATCTTATATAAAACTACCCTTTTGAACAACAAAAATACAAAAAAAAACAATAGGCATTGGATTTGAGTCTAAATTGGTTGGGATTTGGTCATTGCATGTTCAAACAATTATCGTAGCCTTATATTGGGAATATCTCTCCATGAAATAAAGTATAGAAGTCGGAGATGTCCCAGATGCAAGGCTGTAAAATCTATTAAAACGGACTTTGCACTGACTGAAGCTGATCTCTTGAAACAGCAAGAACCAATCCCAATTCAATTATTAATAAAAACAAAACCACACAATTAGGTCTAATATAATCAGTTCATTTGTTTTCCTCTATCGGGTATACCCGATCCATTGGGAATCTCCTGCGAATAAATATTCCAGCACCTTTCCAACGTGAACTGACATTACACATCTGATGCATGATGGAATTATTCCCTGCTTGGGCTCATTGACCCATGCCAGGGATACAACTTTTCCGGGTTTGGGTTGGAATTTTATCAAAATTTCAATAAGTTCAACCCAAAGCCCGAGCCGGAAACAGTATAAGTTGTTAATTCGGGCCAATCCGATTTATACCCCTAACCCATACCATAATCGGTCAAGTTCTATTTCCATTTTTTCTTCAAAAAAGCATGCACAATTATTAGGCATACAAAGTAGAATTCTTGTTTTCGTTATCCTTATTCCAACATAGGGTCAATTTCTGAACCGACCAGGCGACCACTAGATGCTAAAACCGGGTCCTGTATATAAACAGGTGCAACAACCACTGAGGCTGGTCCGGGTCTTAAAAGCCACATTAACTCTTTTGGTTGATAGGTTTAAAACATTATTTACAGGGATTCCCTTACAGCATCCCGATCCGGGTTGGGTCCGGTCACATTAACGGGTCCGACCATGTTCATTCTCAAGTCATACGAATCTGGTCCTAGGGGAACAGGTCCAACCGGTTGATCCGGCCCGGGTCTTAAGTCTATTAAATGCTTTCGTTTTGGTGGACGGTTTAAGACATTAAATATGGTAAAGAATAAAGATTCCACCACTGCATCTCTCTTTCCGTTACTCGATTCTTATCCGTTCTTTAGCCGCATAACCGTAGATTCTTGATGCAATGCACCGACGCACGGCACCACGACATTAAGTTGCAACTGGAACCATTGTATCAAAAACTATGACGACGATCATGGATCAAGCCTTGTTTACTCGGGATCAGGACTGAAAACAGCATTATCGGAAGGCCACAAAAAGTCGCCGGCAGTGGACCCCACACTCCAACAACTGTGAGAGAGAGAGAGAGGCAGAGGCTGCATCGCGGACCCTTCTCTCCCAAATCCAAAATCCAAACCAGAGAGGGAGAGGGAAAGAGAAGAAAAAACACAACAAAACGTGCGTTAATCACTTTGACCTTTCATTCCTCTCTCCCCTCTGGTATTTACTCAACCTGCCACTCGATTCCCCAATCTCAAAAAAGAATTCCCTTTTGACTTCGAAAAAGCACTTCTTTTTCCATGCTACAACATAACGTATGGTCAACAAACGTATATACTGATCTCTCCACGGTCAAAGATTTCACATATTAGATTCACATCGTTGGATGATCATCAAGTCGGTGAAATAAGCTTCTTGGGGTTGGGGCCCACATGATGAATACGTGGGAGAGTGGATAAGGATAAGTAGTCGTTTAGGGGATCCCGACTTCCCGAGGCACGGAGGCAGCCACCAAGAGTGAAAAATTATTGTTGGGTAAATTATAGATTACCATCTTATAATTTGGGGTAGCGACATTTAACCCCCTAAAAGACCCCTTTCAATTTTTAGATTTCAACACTTTCCCCCTCGCTGCTAACGAGATTAATATAAGATTTAATTTTTTTTTGGTAATAACATAAGATTTAATTTACTAAAATATCGAAGTACCCCATTTGTTTGGTAGAAATATCGAGGTACCACATGAATTAAAAGTAGGGATGGCAATTATTCCCAATGAGGAATGGGGCTGCCGGGCTGGAGATGGGATTTATTTCAAAATTGGGGTTAGGGATAGATGTGCTATGTGTTTGGTTCGTTTATATTTATTGGGTAAATGGTGCCACAGACGCTTCATCAGAAAAAGTCTCATTAATTGTTTTTGTAAATAAATATCGATTTCTGTGTGCTTCTCTTATTTTAAAAAACTTTATTTTGGAGATTTTTTAAACGGGTAGGAGTTTATTGATACTTTGCTGATGTGGTGCTTAATGGTGCCTATGTGTCATAAACACCCACATTAATAGCTTTTCTTGGTTTTGTAGCCATACAAGTACAAAACATTTATTCAATAAACGTAAACAGAATCGAACACCCTCATGATCTATGGTACTGAAAAGGTATGGTATAGGAAGAGATTTGACCAATCAAAGCACCCCATGAATTTGATGAATACACTTGATTGATTATCTCTTTTATGATATCAATTGATTGGTGTAAAATTTTCCCTTATCATGTCTTTTTAGTACCATAATCTAATTCATGTAAAAAATGGGTAGGGGAAAGTAGATGATCTCACCTTCATTAACTTTGAGGAAGAAGAAAAATAAAACTTGCATAAAGAATTTATACATGCAAGGACAAAATGGTGGAACAAATAGGAAGGATAGTGAAATGTTTAACCGGCAAAGAATAGTGAAATGAAAATCTTTTTTTAGTTAATTGAGGAAGTGATAATGGATAAACCTATTTATGGGCGGGGTAACTTGATGGGCTGGCTCGGCCTGACTTGTTCTAAATTGGGTTTGGATAAAGTTTTAAGCTTATGGGCTCAAGCTTTAAACATCAAGCCTGACAGTATTTTGGGTTAGCCTCAAGCTTTCCCAAATAAGCTCATCCCGATAATATTATATATGCAGTAAGAAATATATTATATTATAATATACAAAATATTATAAAATATATAATATATTATTAATAATATATAATTAATATAATATAAAATATTTGTCTAAATCAAGTTTCAGGCTTTATGTAAGATTAGGCTTGAACTCAAGATCTTGGCCCAATGGTTGGGCCGGGCTTAGGCCTGGTCATTTTCTGTTTATAAAGGGAAAGAGCCCGGCCTGGCTCGGCCCGTGAACAGGTTTAAATGGAGGGGCACAGTGTTAAAATCTGAAACTCCATGGATAAGTGTCATTGCCCCCAAAAGTATTGGGGTGATATTCTGTAATTTTCCATTTATTGTTGTATATGGAGTTATGATGGAACAAGGACTATCCTATTATGTTAAGGTCCGATAATCCACTTCAGTAAAAACTGGTATTCCTGTAAATCTGGAAAAGATGATGGTCAAATCAGGAGAGAAACCAAAATTAAGATCCACCTGTCTCCACTCTCCAGACGACAAAGAGCCTTTTTTTCTTCTATTTCTTCTTCGCAAACTCGACCTCGGAATCTCTCACTCCGTTTTTTCTCTTCCTGTGAGTGCGAGAGCTTCTGCTTCTCTTCCATCTCCTGTCCTTGTGATCAGTGATCCCTTGTCGACGAAGAACTCGAGAAGGATTAGGGAGAGAGAGAGAGAATAAATAGCAAAACTCAAGAGTTTGAACCAAAGAAGATTTGAATCAAAGAAGAGAAAATCATGGACGAGAAGTCCGCAGTAGCTCTCGAATCGGCTTTCTACGAAGACGATGAGAGCAGCTCTAACAACGCTTCTTCCAACAACAACCATGGCTGGCAGAAGGTTACCTACGCAAAACGCCAGCGGAAGCCCAAACCCTCTGACGCCGCCGATCCCAGCAAATTCCGGCCAAACGGAGTTGTCGTCGTCGGCGACGAGCCCAACGTTTTCCAGTCTCTCGAAGAGCAAGCTAAGGAGCGTCGCCGGCGGGTCGAGGCTCAAAAGGCGGCCGCTGCTGCTGCTGCTGCTGCAGAGTCCGTAGTCAAATCGAAACACCATTCGGACGATGATGGTGATGACAGCGACGTTGAAGCAGCTGATGGTGGCGAGAATGCGGCAACGGAAGAGAAGAAACCCAAGCAGAAGAAGCCCAAGAAGCCCAAGGTCACCGTTGCTGAGGCGGCTTCCAAGATCGATGCTTCTGACCTTGCGGCACACCTTGCTAGCGTTACTGTATGTTCTTAATTCTTGAATTTTGCGTTTTTTATTTGATTTACTCTGATCCGTTGTCCAATTCAGTTTTTGATCTGTTAAAAAGTCTATATTTTTTTCTTATAATTTGAGTTTTTTGAATTAAAAAATGTGAGTTTTTGGGCATAGGCTTCGTACGAATCGCAGCAGGATATTCAGCTAATGCGCTTTGCGGATTATTTTGGTCGGGCGTTTTCCCAAGTGAGCGCAGCTCAATTCCCGTGGACCAAGATTTTCAAGGAGTCTACGGTTGCAAAGATCACCGATGTGAGTTTATATTGCCCCCTTATTTGAGATGTACTGTTGCTATTTAGTGATAATTCAGGAATTGGTAAAGGGCAAGGAATTAATGAGAAATGTGAGAAGATTTTACGAATGTTTGTATGATAGAAGGCTTAGATTCCTCATAATTGAGGAAAAGAATGTTTCATTGCTAAATGATTTCGTGTAGAAAGGCTGCGATTAATTCCTACAAGCATGTTACTTTGTGATTTACTGGAAAGGCCTTGAATGCTTTAATTGTACTAATTTTGATAATAAGGTTGCCAGATTTAATTCTACTAGTTTTGTATCGTGATTTACCCAGAAGACCTGTTACCTGATTGAGTTTGTATTTATGTTATTTATAATTATACTGTATGTCCATATGTGGGAGTTTACTTGTTATACAGCATATCTGTATGTGATCTTCAAAATCTTTTGAAGTTAGAATAATTTTGATATTAATTTTGCAGCTTGGTTGTTTCTGTATTTTCCTTTATTTATAATTATGCTAATGCAAGAAGTTTATTTATTATTTTATGTACCCTAATTGGTTGGTTGTTTGTTTGACTTTTGTGCTTAGATCATTTATTATCTCTTTAATTGAATTTGGGGCAAACTGGATTAGTACATGGTTGTAGACTGATTTTCTTGATCACTTCAACAAGTTGCTTTGTTATCATTGTCTATTTGGTAACTTGTGCACAGAAAATCTGTTTTATCTGTCACAATGAGCCATAGATGCAAAGACTTCTATAATTTTCTTAATGTAAGGTATAGTGGGCTGGAAAAGGTATACATGTACAGAATCTTTTTGTACTCGAGTTGAGGGTGCCTTGCCCGCCTCTTTGTTTTTTGAATGATATATTCTTCTTCATTTGTCTATCAAAAAATGATCCATATATGTCTGATCTTTACAACTGATTGAGTTAATAATTTAAGAGATACCAGCTTAAAAATGGATCCTTTATTAAGTCATTGATAATTTTTGGTTGTAATCTAATTAGCCTTTGGGTGTTTTTATCTTTTTTTTTTTTGTTAAACCATAGTCCCTCCCCCTATTTGGAATTTAAACTAGTTGGTCTATTTTTGACAGATCCCTTTATCACATATTTCTGAGGCTGTTTATAGGACTTCAACTGACTGGATCAACCAGCGATCTCCCGAGGCTCTTGTTTCCTTTGTTTTATGGTCACTAGACAGCATTCTTGCTGACCTAGCACATCAACAGGGTCCTGCTAAGGGATCCAAGAAGGTAGTTCAACATGCCCCATCAAAGGCTCAGGTAACTACTTTGGAATCTAGCTGATATTTCTTGATGCCTCTTTGTATTTTATGTTGATTTGATGCCAACTACTGGAGATTGTATTTAATGAATCATACTTTGCCTTCATAAAAAAAAAAAACTGCTAGAGATTGTGATGGTGCATTATGTTTGTTATTAAAAATATCATATGACATATTTTAACAATTTCTTTCGTGGTTTTGGAAGAAACTTCAAAACATCCATTAATCTAGTCCGGATCTTGGAGGCTTTGCTTCAGTTCTGTATCAGCTGAAAGCATGGTAAACAATGACTTAAAGATTAAACAACCCAGAGAGACTATGGTTGATTGTCAAATGCGAAGCACCATTTAAAGAAATTAGAACCTGTCTTGATTTCCAAAAAATAAAATAAAAGTGAATACCTTTTATTCTCTTTTGAAAGTCAGAACATCACAATAAAATTAGATTAGAAGGCTAAATGAAAATTTGACCTCTAAGTGCAACCTTTATCTTTGTTGATTGTTACCCTTAAGGGGGATAGAAAGGGAAGTCTTGCAATGTTAATGCTTGATGTAATCAAGAGAGTATTTTGCTTACTTTTCCTTTCTGTTTTTAATGCTTCCAGAGGTTAGTAGACATGGTCTGTCACTTCTGACACATAACACACACATCTTTATATTGCTTCTATTCTGTCCTGCTTTGTAGTAAATAGTTTCACTTTTCCTTTCTGTTTCCTATATAAATATATGCAAGTTTTTTTTTTTTTTTTGTGTGCGTGTACGAGAATTCCTGTGGTTGTTTTGATGACTTTGGCAAACTAAATCTTTTATGTACTTTGAGTGTATTATTTCCCTTCCACTTGTCTTATAAATCATATTTTGGACTAGTGAGAAGTGTGGTTTGTCTTAATGTGAGAAGTGGTTTGTTATCATTATGAGTTTTCCATCAACACTGACTAATGGAATTTTAATCATATTAGGTAAAAGAGATTTCTCTCACTGCATTAATTTGTACATTGTGGAGATGCTTGTCTTTGAAAGAGGGGTGATTAATCCAGGTCTAAACTCTACCCTCTTGGCTCTGATTCCAAAAAAGGGAGATGCTTGTCATCCCAAAGAGTTCAGACCCATTAGTTTGGTACACAACCTCTATAAAATCATTGCTAAGGTGCTTTCTCGGAGGATTAGAGAGGTACTACCCTTAATAATTTCCCCAAATTAGGGTGCCTTTGTGAAAAACAGACAAATCGTGGATCAAATCCTAATTGCAAATGAAAGTGTGGAAGATTTCAAAAGAAGCGGGAAGAAAGGGCTCGTGTGCAAATTGGATTTCGAAAAGGCTTATGACTTGGTGGATTGGTCATTTCTGTTGGAAGCCTTAGAATATTTTGGATTTGGGCAGAAGTGGTGCAAATGGGTGAAAGGATGTATTAGGACTTGCCACTATTCCATTTTAGTTAATGGTAGGGTGGTGGACCATTTCCAGGCTACTAGGGGCATCAGACAAGGAGACCCCCTTTCTCCTTTTCTTTTTAATCCTAATTGCTGAAGTCCTAGGAAAACTCATTGAGAGGGCAGACTCTAGAAACTTGGTGAAAGGTTGGAGGGTAGGGAGGAATAGGGTTCCAGTAACACATCTATAGTTTCCTGATGACAATTCTTTTCTGTGGTGGGGATGGGGTAAGTTGGGTGAGTAATCTAAAGCAAGTGATCAATGTCTTCAAACATGTGACTAATCTTAAAGTGAATCTAGACAAGAGTTGTGCAATTGGCATTAATTTGAGTGAAAGTGAGGTGGAGGATAGAGCCCGAATTTTGGGTTGTGAGATCACTCATTGGCCATTGACATATTTGGGGCTGCCACTAGGGGATAACCCAAGTAAAAAGAGTTTCTGGAACCCAGTGATTGAGAGATTCACCAAGAGGTGGCATCTTGGAAGAAAAATTACCTATCCATGGGAGGTAGAATAACCCTGATTAAGTCCACATTTGAAAAATCTGCTTGTATACTTTTTTTCGGTGTTTAAAATGCCCAAAGGAACATGTGGAATTTTGGAAAAGTTGATGAGAGACTTCTTATGGGAACCAGGAGAGGAGAAAAAGGATCATAGGGTCAGGTGGGATATAGTTACCAAAACCAAAAGTGATGGTGGGCTTGCTTTAGGCAATTTGCAAAAAAAGAATGAAGCTCTGCTGGGGAAATGGCTTTGGAGATTGACTTTGGAAAGGGATAAATTATGGGCTCAAGTTGTCTTAAGTATTCATGGGCAAGCGGCGGATGGCTGGGACTCTGGAGTTTCAACTAGGGCTACGAGAGCTTCTCCTTGGAAATCAATTCATGCCATACTTCCTTCTTTTCTTCTTCTAATCAGGTATAGTATGTGCTCTGGTAACTATGTGAAATTTTGGGATCATGTTTGGGTGGGAAGCACTCCGCTGAAAGAACTTTTCCCTTCCTTGTATTCTTTATCACGGTTTAAAAATGAGCCGGTCTCCACTGTTTTGACCACCTCTAATTCAACCATTGATTAGAATTTGGGTTTTAGAAGGGCCCTTAGAGAACCGAAACTGAACCTCATTGCTGACCTGCTAAATATCCTTGAGGGGGTGGTTATTGACCCCTTTAGGAGGGATAGTAGGATTTGGGCTCTTTCTCCTTCGGGTATCTTCTCTTGCTCCTCATTCTTCAAAGAACTGGCTCATTCCCCTCCTGTCTTTGGAATCCCTTTTCCAGTTTTGGAAGTCTGGGGTAGACCAATTCCTCCTAGAATTAGTGTTTTTTGTTGGGAAGTTTTCCTTGAAAAGTGTAACACTTGCAACTTACTTCAAAGAAAAAGGCCTAATTGGTGTTTATCCTCACACTGGTGCATCCTTTGTAAGAAGAATGGTGAGACTTTCTATCACTTGTTGGTTTCTTGCCCATTTGTTTCAGAAATCTGGTGTTGGTTTTTCTCTTTTTGGTGGCAGGTGGACCCCTCCCCCAAATGTTCAAAGCCTATTTCATTCTACTACTGTTAGGGGGCTGAAGAAGAGGGAAAATTCTATGGAGGTGTGTAAGAGCAGCTGTATGTTGGACAGTCTGGGAGGCAAGGAATCAACGGACCTTTCATGGGAAAGAAAGAAATAAGGGTGTAATCGTTGAACTGATTTCTATAAGGTGATCCATTGGGTTAAAACTTTGCAAAGTTTTGAAAATTATTCAGAAGGAGACATCATCGGGAAGTGGAAAGAAGTGGCTTGGTCAGCTCCAAGAAAGAATGTATTCCACCCAATTTGGTCCCTTCCAGCTTCAGGTTTCACTAAACTAAACTTTGATGGTAGTAGTGAAGGAAATCCAAGTCTGTCGGGTATTGGGGGAGCCTTCAGAGATGATGAAGGTTGAATTATTGCATTGTATTCTGGTTCTATTGGATGGGGGGACTCTCTTAGAGCTGAAATATTGGCTCTTGGAAGGGTTAAAAAGAGCGCAAGAGTTAAATATCAGAAAATTGATAGTGGAAGGTGACTCTAAGTTGGCTATAAATTGGTTGATGAAGGATACTTCTAGTCTGTGGAAGTTTCTGAATGAAAAAAAGAAGGTTAGACATCTCACCCAAAATATGGAAGTCAAGTTTCAATGGATAAAGAGGTGCGCCAACTCCTTGGCAGAT